ATCTTTTTAGATGAAAAAAATACTGAAATTGCTTAATTTGGTCAAAGAATATCACCAATTAAACGCAATGACCCTAAAACATGTTTCGTCCAAAAAACAAGACATTTTTTGTGAATTCTTACTGTTTGGAACAACAAAGAAAATGACACAGAATACTTGTTTCGACAACTGTCAACAACTGTAATATACAATATCTTTATTAACAATCCTGGTTATAGGCAAACAATAATGATTGATAAAATCCACTTTTTTGAAAAGACGGGGGTTCAATGGACTTTGTTGCAAATTTTTAACTTTTTAACTGAGTTTTTATCGCTGGTGATGGTTGAAGACAATGACGACGATTCTTGAAATCGCATTTTTGGACGAAAGAGGTTTTAGGGTCATTGTGTTTAAATGGTGATATTCTTTGAACGGATTGAGAAATTTCAGTAATTTTTTTCATTTAAAAGAAGCTTATGAAATTGGCTTTCCAGTCATTATTATTTTTGGTGCTACATATTTTTTTTAATATGAAATATACTTTTGGGGTTTGGGTTCCGCTTTTTTTTTACTCAACCTGTTGACAGTTATAAGATCCATAATTTGTGGCTTTATTCGTTGCTGGAAATAATTATGTATACTAATGTGGGCATGGCAAAAAAACAACAACCTTTTCAACATTATCTGCGTATCAGATATATTTTGGAATTCTTGTGACCCAGATATATACATGTACGGTAAGTCAACAATTAAAGGGTTCATGCAACGAATTTTTCTTAGGAACATATTTTTGGCAACTTTCTACTCCTCTTAAATGTATGAAAACTATTTGACATCCCTTTTTGGTTAAATTTATTAAAAAGTGCACTTTTTTAAACATTTAAAAATGTTCATGCTTTTTTTCGGACAACTGAGGGCACTGTTGCTGTGATGTTTTTTTCAGGAAGACACTGTTCAGTTTAGGAGTTTTCTGTTCAAATTGTGAACCTCAAAATTTGCTCATTGAAACATGTGTGAGAAAGGTTTGCTCACTGGCTTACTTCCATGAACTGACACAACAACGAATCACTAAAGAAAAGAAAATTTACAACAGCAAAATAGCGAAAATCTAGTAACTTTTTTTGTGCTGAAATAGCTGTAACATTGATGTTATCTGTATCTTTAGAGTCGGTAAAGCATCCCAGGGGAAACATCACACCAACTTAGAGAGAAGACAATGAGAAGAAATAACAGTTTTAGAGGTGGGAGGAAAAGCCCAGAAGATCATTTTTTTTTCTGGGGAAAGCCCACGGAATCAGGTAGGGACTGAAAACCCAATCCACATATTGGCCCGGGCGGGATTCGAACCCGGGTCACAGCGGTGGAAGGCGAGGAAAGAACCGCTACGCCAACCCGACTCCCTGGTTTCTGCCCGAATGATATCACAGTTTTGTTCATGAATATGGAAATTCGTATTAGCATAAAACAAAAAAAACGCGCCAAAATACCGTCCTTGAAAATGGCAAAACGAAAATTGAAAAAGAGGTTAAAGGGGACACAAAGGTGCATTTGGAAGGATTACATTAAAAACAAATATTGCATGAACCAATTTTGGCATTCCCCGACGAAAGTATATATGTCATTTTGAAAAGAAAACTTGATTTCTAAAATCGAAAGGTAAATGCCGGGAATTAGATACTTTGCTGTAAAAACAATTGGCTCGTTCACATGGTTAATTGTTTGTTGTTGGGTCAATTATACCAAAATCAGAAGCGATATCGCCTGAAATTTTTCTCGAAATCTGTCTGGGATTTTTCAACATGAAATAAACAAAAAAACATGTGCTTGCTGCCAAGTTAAGTTTTAAGCATACAGGATCCATACGGCGTGGCCAGGTGCTGAGTCAGGTATTACCTTCCACTTTTCCAAACGCACCAATCAAAATCTAATTTGTCATCAACAGTTGCATACCTTGCACAGCTATAACCGCGACAATTATTATGGACTGCAGCCCTGGCATGTTGGACCTACAGCGGTGTGTTATTGGCTTTATTTGCTCGTGCGGACCGCGGACGGTATAAAAAAAGAACGAGTTTGAAGGACAGTCTGACGGCGGACATGTCAAAATATTTACAGGATTGCTTTCAACGCTCGGCCGTCATATTGTGGCGGGGCTTACTGTCCATTTTAAACCACAGTTAGTCAGTAAATGTCATATTTGTTTTCGGTTTAGGAAACTTTCTACGAACGCAACTTCAGGCTCAGCACTGACTGGTGCCCGTACCAGGAATCTAGGCCATCTGTAAATTCTAGTTTAAGCTTTAAAATCCGAAAAGCTTTAAAAAAAAAAGACACACCAATATAATTTAAAAAAAATTGTTAGGTTTTTAGTATGGCTGGACAGTCAGTATGAAATGTTGTGCCTGTCAATTCAGGTTGAAGGCGCTCTGTCAATCGAGCCTGTATGGTAATCGATTAATTGCTTTAAAAAAGTTGACAAATTGTAAATTGTTGTCACGCGGAAGGCTTTATTACATCTATAATGCCCTTCTTCCCATCGTCGTGGGAAGGGAAGACCCGTCAGGTGATTTCCCGTTCCACATTTGCTGGGCAACAGCAACATCAAAGGCTGTCACTTTTTGTCAAAACAAATTCTGCTGAGAATCCAACGTCGACGTGTGTGGGCACACCAGTATATATAAACACGTTTATTTTCATGGTTTCAGCAGTGAAGGCATCTGCTTGCCATAGCAGGTTTTGAAGCAGTGATAAGCCATCTTCATCTGATTACTTCCTCTTAGGTATAGAAATCATGACCTTCCACGGTGTTGGATGCACCATAGAGCAAGGAACAGATGCACCGATGCACTTCTGCACATATATCGACACCAGTTTTTTCATAGTCTTGACCAACATCTCTCTCTCTCCTTATACCGTATTGTGTAATTATTGTAGAGTACATAGTGCTACCGCAAACCCCATACCTAGTGACTTGGTCTTTGTAAAACCTTTTATGCATAAAATAAAATAAAATATAGTTCCAATAAGGCAAATCGTCTTATTAATCAATCGACTCATAAGAAATGAAGTTTAATTTCGAAGTTTTTTCCAACATTGATTTGCGATGTACCCTTTGTGGCCAAACGTCTTGGTTACTTTTTGTTTTAGATTTAATAACTGTGATATTTAGGAGGTGCTGCTAATTTGCTGGGGTGTGAGTGACTCTGGAAAGTTGACCTGGACTATATGCAATTATCGAAACCGGGCATCGACATCCAACAGTTGACTGTCGTTTTATATTCACGACCCGATAAGCATCTTAATCGATACTGATGGTAGTGATTGAGTGTGGAACATTCATGCTAAGGTCTGACGTCGTCGATAACATGCTTCGCATCGGCGGTGTCCCACCTCCGCCGACCCCTGACAAATTGGCCAATTTGGATCATTACCACTGATAGACGGAGTCACTAGGGGGAATGTACCCGCTGAGCAAGCTGGGATGAAGGGTCCGTGAGAGAGAGGGGCACGGTGTATAGGACACAAGGGGGCCGCTGGAACTGATCCATGGGGCGCTCCAAGATGTTTAGCCTGGTTCATGTTCCATGTCTGACAAACATTATTACCAGTCAGTAGCTGTAGCTGCCGCTGGTGCTGCTGTCATGTTCAAACTCATTTTTGTCATGCAGAGCCAAGTTTCAGTCTCCTTCTTTTAAAGACGTATCACACGACTTTCATTTTTGGTTCCCTACTCCATCATGGGTTCTCATGATTGAGCTATAATTTACAAAACAGATTTCGGGATTCTTACTCAAGGTAACTAGCACTGCATGCTATGGGTAGCTCAGTTCGTACACAGTGACCACCCTTTGCTCTATGGTCGGCCATCATCTATTGTCAGCTTCAGTTTCTTAGATAGACTTATTGTGACGTCACTTTTGTCCACGATTTCCTTGAAACAAAACAAAACAAAACAATACAGGCAACAATCTCTCGTTAATACAAACTCAGCCGGACCTATAATATAGCCAAAATGTTTGTTATATCAGAATGTTGTATGAAGTGGCGTACCAGTCCCATTCATTATGCACAGTCGACCCTCGTTAATACAAACACTAAATTAAGCCTTGGTCCCGACTGTGCACAGTCGGGACCAAGGCTTAATTTGTATTAACAGTGTTTGTATTAACGAGGGTCGACTGTATAATTACAAACAATGTATGACGTGGTATTTTTCGTCTTTATATCTCTTGACTCGTTTAAAACAAAATTAAATGTCGAAGCTACGACTGCCATTAAATTTCGTCTACTGTTCCCATGAGACAAAACAAAACTCCAAATGTAAGGGAGTTGTTTCTAAACTGTATGTCACGTGATATTTTTGTCCTTGTGTCTCTTGACTTTGTTTTAAAAGTTTGCAATAATCATAATATACCTGCGATCTCTTTTTTTTCACGGAGGGGTGCCACTGCGCGGCTGCTATACGTGATCTTTAGTTTTTATATTAACTTCTTAAAACCCTGATCTTAAGATGCTGACAGCTTATTAATATGAAATTGTTATCACGGTCTTATGTGTTTAGGCTGAGAGCTGGGGAAGGCTATCCGGCCTCCCTTTATCTGTTTATAAAATTAACATGTTACAAGTCATAACAAAGGGTAATCCTCCCTTGAAAAGCAATGTCTTCGGGCTGTGTCATCCCCCACCTTATTGAGTATACAGCCTGAATATTAACGACACCACTTATTATTAACTCGACATGTATAATGACCGGCCGACCAAACCCTGTCGCTGGAAGCTGAATGGAGCCCGTCTAAATCACCCTTTACCGGCAGGACAAGAAAGGACCATCACGGTGGTCAGGTAATGGGGTGTCAGCTGAATGGCACACGGGGCTATTCAACCCATTGTCTTCTTATGGACTTGGGGGTTGTAGGGCGGACAGTCCTAATGAATGTTCAGGGACGGATGAGTGGGTTTGTTGTGTGAAACTGTCTCTGCGCTGGTGAGTAGGTCCTCCATGCATATACTATAGAGTCTTCACTAGGAACAGAGTCGTCACTAGTGGAACCATTGGTAGCATAAGCAATTATCGAAGTGATGGTGTACTGAGTCAGTGTCTGGTCTTTCCAACTTGAGGACAAAATGCAAATGGTGGGAGCTGATGTTAGGATTGGAAGGACTAAGGAGAACATTGATTGATGCAGGACACTGACAGAAACGGACACTGAAGATGAAATACACTCATCTCAAGAAAGTGTGTTTTGTTGGAAAGTTTTGGAAGGCGTTTACTGAATCAAGCTTACTGGTTGGATTGAAGTAAAACACTTACTCAGTGATGCTTAATAGTGGAAAGCCTTGAAATGTTCGAGGAAAATGGCTTTCTCTCTGTTTGTTCTCCTGAGGATTTTATACAACTGAGTATAGGAAGATAAACACATGGGCGTTACTGCGAGAGGACACTGCTCTCAAAGAGCCATTCAATGATGCACTTGTGACTCCAGAAAGTGTAGAGGCTTCACCGGGGCTCAAAGGAATTAGGTTTGTTTTCTTAAAACCGACTTTGAACTTTTCAGTTGGTTTTCTATCCCGTTGAGGCATTTCCCCCTCTTCCTTGCCTATTTCCACTCCCAGCTATAGTATAGCAGCGTCAGCTGCCATTGTCAGCTTGCTCAGAGAGGGGCTTACGGAAAAACAACAGCCTACTTTGGCCCTGGGTGACGTGTGTAGTCCTGCCATCAATTTGCCAAACGAGCGAGCGGGGGCCTGTCAGCTGGTCGGAGCATGCGCATGTCGTGGGAAAGGGTTTCACCCACGGTGGCCGATCTGTTCACAGGCACTTTTATCATAGTCACGCGTGCGTCGCCTCGTCTACCGAAGGAAATCCTCAGATATAGTGACTAAATTGACGCCTGAAACGATCTCGTTTGGCTGAGGGATTCACTGTACCATCATATTGAAAAAGCTTTGTTTTAAGTAGTCGTGGACGAAGGATATACAGCACACAGCTGATGATGAACTCAACTTTGGAGGATATACCAGCGATCTTTGCGTGATTGTCCGAGCAAGATTCAACAGCGAGATGGATGGTGTAGATAACGCATGCCGTAATTACAGCCTTGCGACCCCACAAGACGTGTGGCGGTAACTGGCATCTGTGTTATTCCCGTGGAGAACTTTCCTCATGCTATCAGTTGTAGCGGAATTCCAGAGATGTAACGTCTTTTGTTGACTGCCTCTCGACGATTCTTGGATTTACTTGGATTTACTATCGTGGTGATCTTTTCGACAATGACTTGGACGCGGAGTCTTGGAGTAGTTGGCGCAAGGAGCCGTGACAGCCGGTCGCCCATCGTCAAACTGGAGGATGGGATAGCATGGGAGAGCAAAGACAAGGTAATAATATGTAAAGAATTGATGATACCGGTTACTTCATGTCGTCCGTAGACCTTACGTACGGTTTAACATCACCATTGCCTTGATTTTCTGTTCTTTGAGTTTTGGTCTTACCCGTGCCAGTATTGTTAGTCGAAGCTATGGTCGAAGCATTTCTCCTACATGTCCTAGCCTGTGATGCTGTATATTATTAAGTGAAACCAATTGAAGTAGACACTTTCCTGCAAGTTTCAACTTGTTTAATTAGACATGCTCGCTTGAAGAAAATTTAGATAAACTTTTTATATGTTTAATTTATTGTTCGAATTAAATTAAGCAAATGAACAGAATGTCACAGTTCAGCCTTTCAAGTTTCAGGTATACGATCGACAACGGTTCAAATTGTTAACCTGGAATTGAAAACAAAGTAAAATGTGACTTTTTAGACAGAGTCGTCCAAACATTGAGAAAAGTAATGCAGAGACTTCATCAATTTCAGATTTCGATTGTTGGTAACTTGTTTTCTAATGCCGTAATTGTTATGTCTGAAAGTCCGAGATGTTATGAAACCCAGTCCCTAGTTCAATTTTCCTGGGGCGTCAAGGGCGCTACCAGCCGGTCGAATTGCGACCACACGCACGCGCTCGATGAATATCGTCCCGGAACATTTTTTTCCAGAACCGGTTACATTGTAAATGTCAATCAACTTGTCGCTATGTTCATTCACGTCTGCGACTTAACACTGTCTTCCAGAGAGAGGGCCCTGTGGCATAGTCCTCTACAACTACACGGTACAATACTGACTGACTTAACTGACTGGCACACTAATTGACTGTCCCTTGTGAGTGTGACATTCAATAGTATTGTATTAAATGCTTACTAGAGTTCATATCAATCCAAACTGATTGGACTACATTTTGTTTTCTGGTGAAGAGTACCGGGCAGTACTATTGTATAGGATTACCTTGTGTACACCGGACGCACGAAAGGACTTCTAATGAATATCCGCACTGAATCAATTAAACGAAACATTTGTGCGCTTTGGGTCCAGCTTTACTATGTTTCCATGTCTTGTTAAGATAACAACCTTCCAATCCTGCACTCTTTGGTTATTGAATTTGCTCTACCTCCGCATGTTCAACGTGTTTTCTCGGTCAAAGGTAAAACTCATTTCAAAACTTGCATCTCCTCAATCCATGCAAAACTTTATCATACATACATGCATACAACGGGTCTGATGACGCTTTATCTATGGCTTTGCGTCCAGCGTCAGTGGTGCTTTTATACTCAAAGAATACAATGTGTACATCCGGTTACAGAATAATAATTTTGAAAACTATTTGTGCAGAATTTTATAATAGTTCCTGCTAATGGCACTCTTTTTTGCCGTGTTTTGACGTCCCATTTCAACATTGTATGAAAGTACTCTAAACTCCATGTATGAAAGTACATCAGGCTCATACTTCGATTCGGAAACGTATCGTGCCCTCTGCTATAAGTATAACTTAGCTAAGAGTAAGAGGCTTTTCGGACCAACCCAGTTGGGTCCTATCTCTATGGTTTATCGAACCCAAGGCGCTATTCAAGACATTGATGCTTCCTGTGTCAGTGTCGCTTTCACGGCCGTCATGTATAATGTTTACAGCCAGCAAATTGTTGTCTATAAATTCTATATCCAGATAGTTCCACTCTTTCACATTATTCGGTCTGAACATGGAGGATTATTACTCCTCTCATACGAAGCCCATTTCCTGTCCCCTAATCTTGGTACTAATTTCTTGAGACTTTATCCTAAGACAACAAAAAGCCAGTCATCTTACAAAATACAGGGAGAGAAAAGTAGCACTGCTGGATCTTGGAGGACATGTTGGGATTGCACGTTACTTCTGTTTCCTGGTCAGCCTGCTTGTCTAGATACTCAATTCAAGAGGACCCCTTATCCTTTAATCCGCTTTAATCCCTTTTAATCCCAACCATGAACTGAATAGTGCCGAGGATGAACTTGAATACCGTGTAAGTAGATCTAGGCTTAATGGTTTGGCGATTCCAAGGTGTGTTTCTATTAAAGTATTAGGTAAACAGTCCGGGTTTCTTGGTGCATCTTTTCTGAGAAAGGCAGACCACCCAACTTGCTATTCTCGTTAGGGTAAAAGGGTGAATGTTCTTTTTGAGGAACTTTCAAGCCTTGCCGTGCTCTGTGTGGCAGAACTCATTACTTTTTGTTGGGATGAGATGCTGTAATATGTGACCTGCCATAGCATAATGAGGAATAAACCCCACCTTTGACTTTTCACGTTATGTACATCATGTTAAAGCGCAAATCATTGGCTTTCCAATGATACCAAAATTATTTCTGTAGCTTAATTTATTCTAAAGATATGACGCAGGAACTTCATCAGTGTCCTGCAAAGTTTCTTTAACCTCATTTCCTGAATAACGGCTTTGAAAAAAAAAGGACAAGCATTGCGCCGCCATCGGCAGTGGAAAACGTTCTTCAGTTTTCCACTTTTGTGGGTGTGTTTTTCCCAACAAAAACGAATAGTGTGAATTTTGGATACATTGGCTACTCAAAAATACAAAACAATTAATATCGATTTTCACACGATTTTTCTAGTATATCCGAATTCAGGCGTCGATTACTTGAACAAGGTTTTGGAGGACATTCCTCATTTTGCCTTAGTAGGTCACATATTTGATTTCAGGTGAACATGACGTGAACATTGTCACTGTGTTTGCATGCAACAAAGGCAACTACTAAGTTTTAATTCTATTTTAATTTGGGGCTCGCCCCCTGCCCCCCCCCCCCAAAAAAAAAACCCAAAAAAAACATGAGGATGGTATCTATCGCATACAGTACACATAATAAATCAGATTCCAACAAGGAAGAATTTATGAAGCATTGAAGATAACATTTCACATTCATTTTGGACTTTTTTTGATTTACAAGCTCAGATTGCGATATGGGTCTTGCATTATTTTATGCTTACTCGTATTATTTTATGTTTTTATATGCAGTTCTTGTTCTCAGCGGTGAAAAAAAACATGACCAACGAAATCACGAAAAAAAGATTTTACGATTGATCTTCAGGTATTGTTTTAAGAGGATCGTTATATGGCTATTTAAAGCCTTCACTGTGACAGCACGTGTGATTCAGAAGGAATCATACGGAAACCCAACTGACCGGGCCCACCATCGGTCAATCGTTTGTTGATTCAGTCGAGTAGGACAGCGCCCCCAGGCGATGAACGACCAATTCCTACATGCCTTGAACATTGCGGTAGCAGCGCGGAATTCTTCTCCAAATAAATAGTTTCTAGCAGTGTTTGTATCACCAAAACACTACGGAATAGTTTGGCCAGATGGAAAAAGGATTTTTTTTGGAAATGACGGACAGCCTCCAGAAAAAAAATTATCGGAACCCCGCTCCCTTCCCCCAAAAGAGACAAAATCAGTCGCATATAGAAACCACTGTATTCTGTTTTCGTGTAACACCGAGTTGAATTATGTTCAAATGCAAGGTAATGCTAGATCACCCTTCGCACGCAATTCAGAAGTCTTATTTCTGTACAACCTGCATGCATCCTACTTTTTTTCCTAGGCCTATGATTTCCCAAGAAAACCCTGTCGAATCAATCTTTCATAAACATTTCCTTTCTCACGCGTTTAATTCCTCGATGTTGAATTTGCAAAGAGGTCAGCACGAACCTCCTAGTAACGCGCCAGCAGTAGAATACGTTCAGGTCAAATGAGGTCACACGCCTTGTCTGATCAGATTCACGTCTATATTGATTGATGGGGCCAACCCTTTTCGAAGCGTGCTAATGAAGATGGCATTTGGTGAAGTGATTCCTCCATCGAAATAAACCGAGCCTTTGTAAATTTTACTCCGTTGTTTATGGTTGTTTAACTTGTTTACCTGTTGTTTACCCAGTACTCACGTGACACCTGAGTCGTGCTGAACACTGACTCAGTTGAGTCCAGAAATATAAATGAGCAAATGCTACCGTATGGTGACTGCAAGTTTTTGCTACTCCTCGCCGGCGCGGCGCACAACCTCTTACAAGGTTCTCAGTGCACGTGCTGGTATTGTCCTCCATTCAACCTTCTCCTGTCACAAGCAAGATCCTTGTTGGTGGGTCAAGCTGCTAAGCTTTGGCTTCATGTGAGAACTATTTTACTAAATCTATTGTCTCTTAAATTAACCAATCACATCTGTATAAATACATGTTTAAGTTCACCGAGTTCGTTTGGACGCGTATGAATTAATCTTGCGTCCTGATGGGTTTTTATGCAAACTAACAGTACAGTGCTAGCGGGCAATGGATTAAAATTTGTTTTAATCCGACAACTTCTCAATCAGTGTCATCAGTGGTCACCTTTTGCACTTGTCAGCGATGTTATTATTGGGTCTAAATCTTATAGAAGTTTCAGCATGAAACCCTAGCCCCTGGGCCGAGGCCTTCATTCATGGCTTCCCGGGCCCGTTAATCTTAACAGTTTTCAGGCAAGTATTTAATCTTTTTGTGAGCGTTTGTGGGAGATGTATTTCTTATCACCATATCTGATCAATCGAACGAACAAGCAGAACTTTTTGTAAGATAAATACCTTTTCCTCCTCTAAGCAGTCTGCGAACGAGAATTTACCTCGTGTTGAGCAGTTCAGCTGTGTTAGTGATATTTTCACAGATTAACATGCATTAAGTTACACCTGCAGCCAACTTCATTGAAACGTAGCAATTCATTCAGTAGATTTTATCTAGGTGTGTTAGAACTGTAGCAGTGCTATCAATTTCCCAAGCCATCAATCATTATTTGGACCGTGGGCTCTGTTCCTCAGACCCATGGGTCGCTGCAAGGCTTTGGGAAAGTTCAGCCAGGGGTTCGGGAGTGCGTGTGCCTATTTTAATTGGTCAAAAGGGGGCGCTATTACCAAAAGACGATAATGAAAATCCTTTCAGCTCCCGGACTAATATTCTTGTTCAGCGACATACATTTTGCTGTATGCGCTTTAATGTAGATG